GTAACAAGTGCTACAAATTAGCAAAGAATTAAAAATTCTGAGAGGTCGAGGTTCAAACTTGTGCGATTTGGCGTGGAATGGCCCATATAATGTCGGTTTCTTCTTCATTTTCTTTCTTCAATGAACCCACTCTTTGCATTTTGTATTTAAATACTTTTTTCTATTACTATTTAACTATCGATCAATGAAAAATTTTAAACAAAAGTATTAAATGACAGTTGTAAAACTGCTGTTTATCTTGTCGAGTTTCCTCATCTTTTCTGATAACACATGGATACGTTATTACTTCGGTAGTATACATGAATCTCGAGAACCAGGCCTAAATTGTTGCTTCTTCTTTGTGTCTGAACCACAAACCCATTATAGCTATTCTTATAAAAAACATACATTTGTGCAAACGCATTTACATATGACACTTGATAAAAAAAAGGATATAATCAGTTTCAGTAAGGAAGAAATAGAGGCAGAAGTGGTGTCCATTTGGTCGCTTACGCTGTTCACACATATCTGCCTGAATACTTATTTAAATATAAACTGTCGAATAACTGATAAACTTTTAGTCTTAGTACTATTTTTTCAGGGGTAGTCAACATTGTCGTTTGATACATAAGTTTTCTATTTTTATGTCTTTTATATTCTAATAAACTTTTGCTCTTGCTATAAATTATTCTTCTTCATCTGCTTAACAATTTATTTTGTGAAATTTTTTTTTATTCTAGTGGAGCGTTTTTCAAACGTTCATCTGTTTCACCAAAACAGTAACAGTATTCCTTTCAATAATTCTGTCTTTGTTATTATTTCTTTTGCTTTGGCTGTTTCATTACGATTTATAAAAGAATTATTTTAAGCATACAGTTGATAATAAGCAGATAAATCGAAAATAAAGAAAGATTTACAGGTAGGTAATCAAAAATGTATTAATGCAGACCTACATAAAAGATAATTTGTGGAAGAGCCTTTTAGCATATACTGCTGGCAAACGACTAGTTTAGTGGGTAATTTAAGCATATTTCTGTCAACTTTTATATGCTAATTTGGATGACAAGCATGACATCTCAGTGTCATTGATAATCTCATAAGCTGTTCTCGCTAAAACCACTAAATTTCTGTTACGCGTATCAATGAAGAACCAGTTATAAGATCTTTCTTCAAACAATTCTAGCCGTCTCATAAAAAAGGTTTACCATTTGAATTATGCTGTCGGCTTGTCAACATCACAAAAAACTTGTCAACTAATGTATCTTTTCTACGCTGTACACATCGTCCGACACTGAAATTTTTTTTCGCTTTCCAGAAACGCAGCAAATTGACTAACTTTTCTGATAAAAAGTAACATTACGATGCTTATTATTCTATAAAACCAAAGCTTTATATAAGAAAAACTAAACAAAATTGTGGATTGTTAAAGATGTTGACAGGTTTACGGTATTTGTCTGAGTAGTTTCACTTCATTTGTAGCTAAAGTTGTCGTTTTACTTCACAGGCATTAAGATGTAAATTGAAACAAAAAGATCACAGGTGCTTCTTCACAGTGAGTATGCTAGATTCAAAAGCAAAAGAAAGGTAAAACCAAAAATGCCTTTAACTTTATGACTAATAAAAGAATAAAAAAACTAGATAAACTTTGCAGGCTTTGTTTATCGAGAATATTGCAGAGACTAATCAACGACCTCAGAAAGAAAACAGCAATATGGAAATTGACTCATTTAGAGTAAAACAAAAGGCATTAAATCGATGTTGGTGTTGTTATTTGATAGAAGCAAAAAGTATTCGAGAACTTGTAGTGAAATACAGAAGAAAAAATAGAGGAAGAAACAATAGTAGCCTGATGTATTTAATGCGACCAAAAAGCTTTGATTGAGCATTACCATCAAACACACTTCTACATTAGACGCGTGTTATTTATTAATTGAAAGAAGCTTTAAAAGAAGACAGAGATGTTTCTTAGTAGCTGTACAGGTAAGGAAAACAACAACCTTTTTTAAATCTACTTCTTAACTATTTTCAGTGATTGCTGTTCAAATTAGGTAATATCAGACAAAATAAACTTGCACGTAATTTCTTTAAACAACGATAGGTTTATACAACAATATCTATGTCGTGACTGCAGACAAAATTCTAAAATTTTGGGATTTGCTCTTGTCAGCTTCTCTCCTATAATGTCCTATGGAACCTTCCTACTACTCTTTCTACTGTAGGCTCTACCAGTCCTTTAAACCTACAGCAACAACCTATAACTACCTTAATACCTCATTTCTCGCTTGAGACTTCTTCCAGTCCTAAGTCCTCCACGTACCATCTCACCTTGTACTCATGCCAACTCTAATGTTTAGGAAGAATGTTACTCAGCTGTAGTATATCTACCGAAGCCTATTGACAAGAAGAAATACTTAATTACTACTTGTGCGTCATTACCCTTACCACTGACTAGTTAATTACTCATAAATGAGATAATACAACAAATAAGAGATCTTAATTGAAGAGATTCAAATCCTATCATACACAACAAAGTGATATAATGCGTAAAGAATCCTCTACAAAGAAAGAGCGATAAACACACAAATAACTGCCTATGGGCACGTAGCAAGAGAGAAAAACGTTATGAAAATCCGCCGATAATCAATTAGATTAGATTGCAATAAGAATCCCCTAGCTAGCTGTCACTTCCTACTTATACCTATCCCACCGTTGACGTGACTCTGGTATTATGCTCCTCTGAGAAGGTTCCGTCAAGGAACATGCTCCAGTCGGTCACTTACTGTAGTTAGTGACCTTCCGCGTATGGTTGCGACAATCTATGTGACAAAAATTTTAAGTTTTTTACTAGAACAAAGTTTTGGAGTAAAAAATTTGTCTTCATCTATTTTATCAACCAAAAAAGTAATGTTATTACAAGAGATCTGATCTGTTACATCAAACTAGCAAAAGTTTATCGCTTGAAAACTCAAGCAAAAAACAAGTGAAATTAAAACCATCTATTTTTTTCCGCTTTTTTCTGTTTACCTCTTGCTGCCATACATTTGGTTAGGTAGACTCTTACAAACTTGAAGTTTTGTACTACACAAAATTGCTCTCATTCTTTGTCATCATTTACATATGTGCACTTTATGTTATTTTTTGTATGCATATTAAAATATAGTTTTTCAGTGTCCTCCTTAAACTAAAAGATATAAAATTTTCGAAGAAGAAAAACCAAAAGAAAAACCAAAGTTGCTCTTTTTTCAGCTTTATTCATCCAGTGTATAGTGAATGTTGCAGTAACTGGGGTAAAATTCAAGCGATTGCAATACTGTCAAAATTGGTTGTGAAAAAGAAAGCCAACAACAAAATCACATGATGTTATGCTGATTAGACTTTGAATAACCACCACGAAATATTTCTAATAGTGAAATTCATCATAAGCCTGTTCTTAATTTTTTTTTCTTTGCCGAATACATTGAAACAACAGATTTCGTGGTGCTGTGTGAGGCATATAAAAAATTTAGTCAAAAAACTTGTTGTAGTTCAGCCAAATTAACTGTGAATCACTGCAAATAGCAACCAAATTTAAGGATGGAGATCTGGTTGATGAGATAATTGGTATTGGAACAGCACGAAACCGGCGTATACATTCTGTGGTCTCATTTACTTTCTATTATCAAAACAGAATATAAACTGGTACGGTAATGAGCACCTATTACAGCACAAAAGCCAACTGTCTTTTCTTTTAGTTTTTGAAGTCTTCTTCCTGTTTCAACTTCTTTTTTTTTTTTTT